ACAATGTAGGAGAGTGTACAGCCTTGCCATGTCACCGCTGATCCTCTCTTCTTCTTCTTCAGCGCTTGTCCAGAATAATAGAGGGGTGGGGGAGTGGATCCGCTAATGATGTGACGACGTCACTTCTTCCGATTGAATGCCTGGTTGGGGTGGATTCCAGCTATTTTCAAATATGTATGCAGCGTATCAAGCCAAAGTATTTGGGACGTCCTTTGGGTCGCTTTTAGGGGGACTGTGTCAGCCTTTGCACGAAGTATATGGTAGCAACATCTAAGGCACGTTTCGCGCACATTGTGCGCTATAGCAGCCATACCAAAATTGCTGCGTATTACATAGTTGCAGATGCAGTCCAACAGTAACGGCCGCAGTCCAAGATCTTTATCTCAACCACAAGGAGATGGGCTTCGTTCTGGTCGCGGGCCAGCACCCGATTGGTCGAAGGACACTTCTATAGATCTTCGAATTAAAACGCTTTGGCATCTTCATGTCGCAGACAATCCAACATGCGTCGCCATTTCTACCACACTCACACTTGCACTCACTTCCAAGTCTAGATCACCATCGGACGTAACTGCTGATCCGAGATACTGGAATGTTCTTTGTATGAATGCGTTCAGTGCCATCGATTCCGATGAAGTCCGTCTCGCTTGGGTCTGTTGTCCAGTACCTAGTCTTTTTGACGTTTAAGACGTTCAGCGACCCCTTCCCGACCTTAATCCACATTTCCTAGCACCTGGACTATTGCGAACTGCAGTTGCTTGAAACGAGTACGTCATGTTCGAAGGGGATGCTCCACCCACTGTGGACGTGCCTGAACAGACCAGACACCAGGCTCAACTGTCTCCTAGTGTCCCTCCCTCCATCAGTTTCTTTGCGATCTGCAATCTCTCTCAAGAAGTGAGCTGTAGAGTTTTGTGGAAAGCACCACCATAACAATTAAGCCTCACCCAGGGTGTCCCCTCCATCTACCCTGTCAACCCTTTTCAGACCGTAGTCCACTTTTTTTGCCAGCTCTAGGCCGCTCTGGAACCAAATTACGAATTTTCGTCTGCGAAACCTCTCACGTTCTGTGAATACCCCGCCCATTGAGGGCTGGGCCTGACAAGGTCATGTGTGCTCTGTACATGAACAGGCGGAAGAATTGTCAGAGCAGCACATTACCTCACGGTAAGTGGCTCTGTACATCTTGCCCCATGCCCTAGCCATCTCCCCCTACTTGAGTCGCTCTCCAGGCAGAACCGGGTTTTCGGACAAACAAACTCATCAAATTGGATAAAGTGGGGATGACAACACGACCGCTCAACTAACTGAATTTCAGATGAACGATGGATGTTTCGCGGAGGTCTGCAAAGCATCAATCAATGACCTCATCGCTAATACCCCACTTCTCTTTCATCGAAAATATTTCCATTTGAAGTGTTCTACTGCTGCAAGCGGGACGAGTTAGTGACACATCGAGCCAGTAAAACTGCGCAGTGGTTCCCATAGCGCTCATTCCCCGCTGCGGATTTCATGCGAGCACAGAATTTTCTCAAGATGGTCACTTTCAAACTTCCAGTCACCCAACGCAAACGTGGTACGTGATTCCATTACTTCACCTCTCCACACTGCCTATTGGACGGGCCACTGACCACAAAAGGGGACCTACTTGTGCACCGAGGCGTCCACGTTTCGTCAACGTCCTTCCGACGCGAGGTCACACTTAAGTCATTTGATACAGGCCACTATTAAAGTTCATCCTTCCACTCAATCAGAGTCACCATATTGTATTTGTGACCGCTGCGACATACAAGGCGAATCGTCCAATAGCTTGAGCTAAAGCTCGGCTTGTTTAAAGGCAGTTGGCACGATGGTTTCCTACTTAGCCTAAAATGCTAGTAGGGCGCTGTATAGTGGGGAAATGGCGAAAGAACGGAGTGAAACGGTCAAAATCCTGCGAAGAAAAAGCCTCCGTTCTCAGTGACTTGTAAATCGATTTCGGACGAGTTTCCCGTAGGCATCTTACCAATCACCGCTACCGAAGATACGGCTGCATGTACCCATATATGCATGCAGCATCACGGCCGCTTCATACCAATCCCTTCGCTTCATAATTTGCTTAGCAAATGAATGAATACGAGCGTCAGGAACGGTCGTCCATTTGTGGGCGGGCGGGCGTGGCGGGCGTTTGGGACGTAAAGTTGTGGCTTGATAGGGCCCTTATAAGGGCACCTTCCTCGGGGAAACCGCTATGCAGCGCCTGCCCAGGGTCGCGGAATTCTATCCTGCCAGGAGTATTGACTCAGTCGTCTTGGGAGATTTATCGTGCCAACTGCCTTGATGGGGTTCCCTGTCATGCTTACCACAGCGTAAAGCCTTTGTAGACATCCGTGGGCCTTCTTTACAGCAGTGGACTTGTGGTAATTGTAATCACCATAACGCTGTATGTACTTACTATGTTTGCACGTAGATTCCTTGTCGCTTAATCTTCTCCTCAAAGCATGTTTCTTCATTTGGACGATTGCACGCCGGACAACGCATTTCCTGACCACGTACCAGTGTGGCGTTCTACAATGGAAGGAAATATGACAGCTATTCCAGCTAAATTCTGCTCACAAGAGGAACTCAATTTATCAATTCAGAGAATGTTCAGAAACGGCGTTGACGACTAAATACGCATTATAACACCGCTCAGTAAGGGCATTCGGTATACATGAAAACAGGAAACATTACTCCAGATGCCGCGAAAAATGAGCAAAGCTGTGCAGAGGGTTGGCGAATGCGCCGGTGTGGATGGGGCTAAAGTCAGAAATTCGCAAATCGGTTCTAGCACAGTCTAGGAAACAAGTACCAGAAGCAGTTGAAGCGAAAAGATCAACTCGAAGTTTGATCTCTGTAGAGTGACAACCAAACAGTCGTTACTTATTTGAGTTATCGCGCTTCGCACACATGAACGTTCAAATGGCACGTTCCGCGATTAAATAAGGCTAGGTTTTTCATAACCCTGCACAATGTTCAAGCACTGCGACGTCAATAGCTAATGCTGGGTCTTTCTGAAAAGTTGAAAAACGAAAGCTAAAACGCAGGGCGCTCAGGTTTTAGGCCCATTTGCGCCCGATAGGCCCATGCCGGCCTCCAATGACCGAGTCGTTGTGAGACTGCCATTGCGCTCTCCATCGGCTGTCGTTTGCCTGACGGCTTTCCCGCGTCTCTTTATCAGGGTATGCGCTCGCTCGGTGATCATGATCAATTGCAATAAAGAGGGTCTTATTCCGGGCGCTTTTTCGTGCTTCCTTCTTCTTCAATAAGTCAACAAAACACGGCACATTCTATTTTTGAACAGTGTTACTTACCTATGAGTTCTGTGGTACGAGCGAGAATTGCCCTTTCAATATTACGGAGGCAAATTAATATTGGCCCGCACTGGCGGTAACAGTGCATCAGAAGGTATTAAGCTGTACGACAACTTTCAACATACTCGAGGCGAAGCCAATTTAAACTGAATCCCGCATCGCCCGACTGACGCCGGCCTCGACTTCCGTCTCGAAAAATAGCCCTTGGCTAAGCTCGTCCATTGAATATTGAAGTGCGGCAAACGGCGCCGCGTTGGCCGCTCAATTTCATGACGGAGTTCAACGCCGCCCCGCTGTGTTACTGTTCGAACATTCTTCTCACTGTGACACTTGATCGCACCGCCGCAACCGATTATGCAAGACATATAGTGTTAAAGTGATAGATGCGATGGTATAGGTTAAGGAGCGTTTCTCGGGTGTACAGATGAGAGGAATAACGATGTCGAGTAGGAATCCAACGATTCACGCTACACGGCTCACCATCGTAAGACAAGTGTGAGCTGCTGTAAGGGCTACGGTATACAAAAGGCCGTTTGAGCGCTGAAGGGTAAAAGCGCCGCTGATGGCGTCAACGGATAGGCAGCGTCGCCGGAAAAGCGTGAGCTGCTGGTTCGACTCCGCCTGGGGTAGCGACTTTTGGCCCATAACTTACGCATTCCTTGTGAGGATGAGGGGTGTTGCTCACACTGATTCTTCGATATCACGCGCCGCACCTGGAAACCGGGCTGGGCGCCTCGAAGGACGGAGCCGCAGATTAGCCTGCCAGAAACATGAAAAATGATGGGCATATTGTCAGTCATTCTTCGATCAGGGCCAATTATGTTCGAGTCTTTTCTTGACTTATCGGCCTCTATTGTAACTATTTCCTACCGTGCCAGAGAACACTCAAAAATTTTTTTTGGCTGAAACGCTCTGCCTATAGGTGGTATTCGATGCCTTTCATCGACGTAATATCAGCCATTCCGTTTCAAGCGCTGACGTCAGTTTGGCGCACATTATGCGCGCTTTGCGCTGTACACCGGACCTTGGCGGTGCTTTTTTCACCAAATTTAGAAACTTGCATATTGGGGTTTAATTGAGGTGCTAATTACCGAATATCAACACTTTCAGCGCTGGCGGCCACTGCAGGTTGAGCAATTATGCGCGCAATCTGGCGCCAGTATTGCGGCGCATGAATTCACCCTAGTGGGTGTCACGCACCGCTTGAAAACCAGTGTGGATTTCGTCCCTTAGACCGTCAATTAACCCCATATGCAAGTTTTCATCAACTTTGGTGAAAAAGTGGTGGGCGCCAAATTGGCGCATAATGGCGCCAAATGACGCCAGCGCTCGAAACGGATGTGATATTCGTGATCAGCGCATCGAATTACATCTATAGGCAACGTTTCAGCGAAAAAATTTTTTTGAGTGTTCTGGGGTAGGAATAGTTCAATAGTTCCTTTTGCCCTACTTATTACTACTACTTATTACCTGAGGCAGAGCAAGGCTCGTGCCAAGGTTATCCAAGTAGTATTGACGCTGTTCATCAACTGTGAGCAGGCCCTTCGTGTACACAATACACATTGTTTTTTCCTATGAATTCACCCTAAATACGACCATAGCCGCGGAAGACTCTTACTGGGCGACCACATTTTGTATTAGTGGCAGTTTTCTGCTCCTACGTCCGGCCCACACTCCTGATGCTCCCGCAGCTGATTCCGTACTTCATCCGTAAATATCACCTGATTACGCGGACGGCGCATACATAACAGGTTGTTGAGAAAGCTTCCCGCCGATCAGTTCGCCACTTTGCCAAAGTTTTGGATTCCTCTGGAACCTTTTATCGATAAAGTTTACATATGCTGACCTATAGTCCACATGTATCACAAGTCGTGATACTGCGCGAAGACTATGGCAGAGGAACTTGTCCACGATGCAAATCGACTGCTTCTGCCTTAACAAGTTCAAATCAAGGTGACGCAAGAGTCACGGTTTATAACATGTGTAATGCGACGGATCCTTCCACGGTCGCCTACGACAACAAACGTTTGGTTCTAGAAGTGCAGAAACGGGGAATTTGATTCGAAGGATTAGCCGCGTTCTCAAAGTCCAGTAGCTGTAGATGAGGAGCGCCTTCTGGAACTGGTTCAAGGAGAGCAGTAGCATCCGTGAGCTGGGGAACTCAAGTACCGTCGCACCATCATAGCTGTCTACCTGCGTAGCCTTGTTGAAGACATGGAGATATGGCGCGCGTTTACCGCACCATCTTGGCGGTCATTAGCTTAGTGCACAAGAAAGCATGCTTCTCTTAGCTTTCTGGCGGTACTTTTCTTGGCTCAATAACTAGTCACTGGCGACGAAAAGTACGTAGCCTACGTTAACCACAGCGTCAGTAGCTCAATCGCGTCAGAGACCTAGGATCCCTACGCTAAACCGGACTTCATCCAAAGCTCGAAATGCTCAGTGTCTGGTGGAAGTGCAAAAAGTCATCGAAAGCTTCCACCTGCAAACACCAGTGTCGCTAGCGATGTCTACTGCAGGCAACTGGATTGCGTGGAAGCAGATCTTTGTTGGAAACGAGGCAAAGTCTCCTCCCTCCATACAATGCGCTTCCACACGTCGTAAAACAGACTCAGAAAAATCTCCGATGTTTGTATGCAGTTTCCGATGCATGGTCTGCTCCCTCCACTCCCGCGTTTATCAGACTTGACCCAACAGACTGTCATGTGTTTCTTTCGTTGCCAGCCATCTGTGGAGAAACAGAGCGAGGATAGATAGCAACTTGAAAGATGCCTCGGTGAATTTTTATTTCATCAAAACCAAGAGATTTCTGTGGAAGTGGCATCTACAAGATAGCAGATCAATGGTAGGTATCGGTAATTGTTGTAGATAATCATGATGCATGTGTTCATTAGCTGTTGAATGTATTGAAAAAGAGGAACGAATTAAAAAAGAGGGAATTGGGGGGAGGGCACTTTCCGAACAATTAAATAATTACTTGGCGTTGGTTGATGTCTCAGCCATTTGGTACATGAATCGCTGCGCCACTCCCTCGGAGAGAAAATTCCTCATAGTGTGTTGCCAAAATGGACATGGTCCTCATGGGGCCTGTACACATGAATTTTTGTTATGTAACCTTTTGGGGCCATTACCCTGACACGCCAAGCAAGCAAACCCAGCTAATGCGCAATGGCAAGACGAGGATTTCGATGTTTTAACTGCTTTTGTCATAGGAATTGTGTTAGCGTTCTTTCATACTAAATTTAGGAAATTTTTTCCTGTAGGCGTCAGTTTACAGTGCTGCTTTGCTAGTTTTGACGGTGAACCTATATTTCGTGAAACAATATGAGTTTTACTAGTTTTTTTTTCTATATCGGCTCGCCAGCTCAACACTGAGATCGAAGGTTGCTGCGGCAAGACACGGATACTTTTGACAATAAAAGGTTTTGTGATGGTCTACATAAAATAGCGCACCCGGTGGGAAGAGTTAGAAGATCCAGTGCGACTAGGGGGAGGTCTTCCAGATTGGGGAACACGCTTTGAAAACGGTTCGTCGCGTGTTGTAGAGGTTTTCGGGTACCACAAAGGTGCATTTCAATTCCGCTGCGCTCTTCTGGGAGTGCCAAGAATAGGCGGAAAAAAGTTCTAGTTTTTGTTCAGACAAAAGATTCCGACTTATAGGAACACAAAATTGAAACTGCAAAGTTTTGTCACTCAGGGGATTCCACGACCCAATAGACCTCCTTTGTAAGGAGCAGCGTTTTCTCAGCGTACTTCTGATAGGAAACTTTGTTGAACCTATGAATGCAAGCTGATGGCAGAAAATGAGAAAATCCAACTGTAACAGTAACGGTAAGGAAAAATAAAGAAAGAAAACGGACCAGCATACAGTCGAAGTGATAGAAACGAAGCCCGCAGCAGTCCATCTTGATGACAGAATGCATGGCAATTTTTGGTTCAACTTTGTCCATGCAAAGGCAACAGAGATCTTCTTCGCTGTTCTGAAATCCGTGGTCTCACTCAATAGTATGAGAAAAGTGAGGAACAGCAGGTAACTGATTTTATGCGGGGATCCTATCGTATCGCACTCGACGTTCTCCATCGCTTCAGTGCATGGAACCCGCTTTCGTAGAAGTTTATTCATTTCACCCATTTAATGCAGTTATAGGTGCGAGAATAAGTGTAGCAGGTAGAAAACTACCAGTCAGTAGAGTGTGGAAATGGGCGCCCGTATTTCATTGTACGTGTAGGTATGGGACCGAAAAAAATGAATTCAGCAGAAGGATGACGTCAGGGAAAGCGTCACTGCCAAACAACCAAAGCATGGGTATGAAATTACTGACTGTGGGCTTTCCTGCTCCCAACAATTCGGCCTCCGACACGGCAACAAAATTCAGCGTTGTTGCGCTTT